TTACTTTTTTTTGACGCGATAAAACGAGAGTATTTGTAATTTAAGTGAATTATTTTTGGCTGTGTTTAGTTTTTGTTTATTATTTATACTAAGTTAAACTCTTATAATATAAGCCTTGAATTCTGTAATACAACTTTTTATTGTTGCATTAAAGATTGCGTTGTTATAAACACTTTAATATTGATAGAACTACTGTTTACTTATTTTTGACGCTCACAGTATCTCCGTCTAAGTTAGTGAAAGAATGCCCTGATATCTTGGGGGATTAAACATCCTATTACGCGATAAACCTTCAATGAGTCCCAGGATATAGTCGTATCCTAGAGAAATGTGATGCAGATGAATTACCACGCTATAATTAGAATCCGGAAAAGTACTGGGTATGGGCTTGGGAGTACTAACAAGTCAATGTCTAATAGACAGATACGCCAGCTATTGTAAAGCTTGTAATCGTATTTTAATCAATTTCGGAAAAAGTGCAAGAGTATGAAATGTTCTGTAACACCTGAATCGCTCCTTACTTGTTATTACTATGTTCACTTAATATTGTTTCCGCTATTTTGTAGTAACTGTATTTAATGACATTAATCATGATAATCCTAATAAATACAATGTTAATCATTAGTTTAACTAAAATAGACAAATATGCGTTTTAAAAATACAACAACAAATTCTAACAACAACGAAATGACAATGTCTGATTTTCGAAATCAAAATTTAAGAAAATTGTTTTGCCAAAAACATCACGCCATATTGTGTGAGAAATCATCGAACATATATACATATATAAATATGTCTGTATATTATAACAAATTGAAAACAATTATTTTACGTTTGTGATAAGCAGTCATAATTTTATTTCTCAAGCTCTGCTACTTGGGCGCCGCTTCTACGCATGCTTGTCTGCATGTGTGTATTAGAGGGGGTTGATTTTTACCTTCTATAAAATCGCGTAAGCGGGAAATGCGGATCATTCTGAACAACTTAGCCCAAGAGCCAGGGATTTTTAGAGTGAAGTTTAAAAAATCTGAATAATCAATGATCCGTAGAACATTTCCCGCATACATGATTTTTAAGTTTTTTTGCCTCTCTATAAAACGACCCGCTCTAACCTATATTTATCACTTGTTGAATTATGCACCGCAGTGCTTAAGTGATAACTGTGCATAGCAATAGTAATACAATTTTATATAGATTGTAAAACAAGTTAATTGGAATAAGAATTTAAATTTATGTATGTGTAATTTTGTTATTTTATTTCTAATGATAAAAATATCTACTAACAAAAATTTCGATTGCGAAATCAGCGCTGATAAACCTTTAAAGTATTTATAACAGGTACAAATCGATATTTATTTGATATGGTGGCTGTTTAGTTAAGTATAGATATTTGTTTGAGCAATTTTTACTTAATTTTTTTTTCCTTCTTAATAAAAGAGTACATAAAATTGAGGGTGAGGAATTAAAACAAGAAAAAACGTTAACGTTTGCACCGAAGGTATAACGCTCAGTTTGTATGGCAGCTACATATGTATATGCTATAGCAATATCTCGAAATTGAGGGACTGGGTCGCGTATATACAGACAAATGAACGGACATTGCTAAATCGACTTAGCGCATCATGCTGAACATTCCTACATAATACTGTGCCCAAAAAATAAGGTGACATTTGAATTTAAACTGCGCGCGTCGAAGGATTTGGAAAATTATTTTTTTTAGGTTGGTAGTATTGTCAGTCACATTTATGTGAAATTTCATGAGATACGTGTCGTTTTGTGAGCTGCTAAAAGTGAGTTTTTCGTTTTTTGCGATGTCGAAATTTGTTGAGCAAAGAATTTGCATTAAATTTTTTTTACGGAATCAATTTTCTGCTGCGGATACGTTGAGGATGGTGCAGAAAGCTTTTGGTGATGAGACTGTGCCTAAAAAAATGTTTACAAATGGTATAGTGAGTTTCAAGCCGGCCGCGAACGTGTCGAAGACCAAGAGCGTCCAGGGCGACCATCAACCTCAATCGACGAAGCTCACGTTCAACAAATCAAAGATTTGGTGTTGAAAAACCGTCGATWAACAATTAGAGACCTTGCTGATGAAGTTGGCATATCGAAAGGATCAGCCAATATCATTTTGAAGGATGTTTTGCGCCTCAAGCGCGTCAAATCTTGACTGGTACCGAAACATAGAATTTTTTGGAAAATAGGCGTCGTGTTGAAGTCTGTGAAACGATGCTTTCCGACTACTAGGGTGTCATGAAACGCATTATAACTGGCAATGAGACTTGGATCAATGCTTACGACCCCGATACAACCGATCAATCGAGCAAATATCGTGCCAAAAGAGAGCCGAGACCAAAAAAATCGCGCCAAAGTCGCTCAAAAATCAAGGTCATGTTGACTGTTTTCTTCGATTATCGTGGTGTTGTGCATTATGAATTCCTTCCAACCTATCAAACAGTCAACAAGGAATATTATTTGAACGTTATCCGTCATTTGGGTAACGCTATCCGCCTAAAATGGCCGGAACTGTGGAAAGACAATTCTTGGTTTTTATACCACGATAATGCACCATCCCATGCTGTCCCTCTCGTAATTCGTGATCATTTCGCCAAAAACTCAACCTATATCGTTCCGCAACCACCGTATTCACCTGATCTGGCGCCGTAAGACTTCGGGCTGTTCACCAAGCTTTTTTTCTAAAAGAATTTAAGGAGTTGGTTTAACTGTAGCGATGTGAGAATTAAACGTGTAAAAGAATAATAATGCCACATGTAGAATGCAAATATCGGTGCAAAGGTCAGCAATGAACTATGAGATTGTAAATGTTTAATGATTACAATTGTAAACGGAAAAGCAATAATTATAGTTTTATTACTTTGTAGATTACTGCTTAAGTTAAGATAAAGTCCGTTCCACTTTTTGAGGGAAAAAATTAACAATTATAAAATAAACAAGAAAAAATAACTTCGGTTTTATCGGAGATATAATAAATAACATTCAACGGGTACATTTGTTATAGGATAAAAGTGCCAAATTTAGTGATGATATCTTGTCAAATTAAAAAGTTTTCCACACAAACATTTAATGGTATTATATATGTATACGGTATATTGGTCCAATCTAAACAATTTATCCGAAGATTTTAATATTGCCTTGAGCAAAATTCCATGCCAAATTTCTTAAAGATACCTTACCAAATAAAAAGTTTTCTTTACAAGGATTTGCATTTGATTGGTCAGTTTTTATGACGGCAATGTGCTCAGTTCCGTCAAATTACCAGCTTTTATTGATACCTCAAAAAGTGGGACTAGTTCGCTTATATGTATATACAGATATACAGAAATATTTGCATATATTTATTCATATACAGCCATATAACCTCCAGTTCCCCATACTTTTATTTTCTGATTTAATTTTGTGTTATTTTTATTTTAATATCAAATAAATAAAWTTTAGAAAACGTTTTTAATTTCAGGTAATTCGAGCTATTTTTAACGCTAAAATAAATATATAAAAAAAAAAATTATGAGATTTTTTAACCATTAGTTTTAACCGTAAATTAAATTTATAACACTTGAATTATTTATGAACATTCAAAAGTGTGTGAAACTTTTGCTGAACAAAACTTTATTTTAATCTCTTCCTAACTATCACTTATTTATATGCTTATTGTTTTTGTTTTTATTTGTAAGTCCAAGTTTATTTGAGCGTGAAAATTTAGTAAATAAAATTATTAGAATTAAAAAATGTAAGATCTACTTAATTATCACTTAATTTTATCTTTCATTAATTTTTTAACCCGAAATAAATAATCTATAGATATTCATTTAAATTTGAAACGTCCTACAAACTAACTTCTATTTTAGCTTTAACCTCTGTTAATTTAACTTATATATATGTATGTTAACCATCAGCTAATTTTTAACCGTCAATTAAATTTATAACTCTTGTATCTTGTATATGTATATGCTTGAAACCTCTGACAAAAGAACCTTTATTTTAACCTCAGTTTAATTTAACCTCTGATTAAATACGAGTTTCTTAAAAAAATGTGTAATTTTATAAATAAATTATGGCTCTTCAAATAAATTTAAAATTTCTGGTAAACCAACTTTCATTTTAACCTTTGATTAATTTAATTTCTGGTTAAATCCGGAGTTCTTAAAAATTCCCAGTACTATACATAATATATAAAAACACGCCTGGGCCTTATTAGCTTCTTAATCAAAACGAAAGTTCAATTTCCTAGGCTGTGCGCTATATTCTACCGTGTCGTAACTGTTAGGAATTTCAATAATAAATCATGTATGAATCTCTGTAACTACATATGACATTGCTCAGCACAATACTTTCACACAATAATTAGCACAATTATCCACCAATGATCGACAACTGATCATACAAGGTCTGTCAAGTAACGGCACGATTGCATGCGGTGTGCGTAGACGGCATCGTACACAAATACGTCTGTATTGTGCAAGCGAACATGTGTTTTCTCATTGGCGTTGGCGTGCTTTTAAAAGCCAACGATCAATAGCGTCGACGCTAGCGTCCTTTTGACCACCACTACCCAACAACAAAAGCAAGTGTCGAGTCTACAGGCCTCTTATCACAGCTACCAATACAGATATAAGCGCACGCGACTCATGGTTTGTTTTTACTATTATTGTTACTGTTGCTGTTGTTATAATTCTTATTGTTGTTGCTGCAGCTGCTACTTGCACTTATTGCTCTAAGTTTCGAAATTTTGAGATAACACACGCACACTTTGTAACATTTTCGTACTAAATTGTACGTCCGACGACCCTACAACTTACTTAGTTCGCTGCCTTGCACACATCCAAACATTTCTTAAAAGTGCTCCAAGCACATAGCGCATTTAGAAAAATATTTTCGCTTTTAGTTTAGTCGCATTTTTGCTGGCGTTTAGTACTTAATTACATTTAGCAGATCGTATTTTGGGCGTGAATATTATTATTATTTTTTTTTTTTGAGTGAAAAGTAATGTGTGTGTGTCTATAACGCAATATATTGTAAACATTAAAAAAGTAAGTTTACAAAATGAATTTGCTATTTCTTAGTTTCTCACTATTCAAGTAATCGAACAGTATATAGTGTATATAGTGATCAATGGTGCTTAGTGGCGTGATTTGTTGTGCCGACCCTGGACATGTGACTTTAGCATTTACAAAAAACAGTTGGTTTCATATAAAAAAAGAATTAAAAACCGTTAAATATGAGATTTAATTAATGGCATGCACTTTCATTTTGTATCTAATTGTTAGAATGGAAAGCTTCTGGGTGCAGAGCGCGATCGGTGCTATCAAAGTGCTCGCTTTTGTGTGTGATATAATCACGTTGCCGGTATATTTGGTGTTGCAGCGACCGTGGAAGCGAAGAGAAGAGTCGCGACGCGTCAAGGTGAGTGCAAAAGGGAAAATTAATTAAATGTTGAAGAAAACAAAAAATAGTGTGTTTATTGGGGTTTCGTTTTTGTTAAAAAACGGTATTAAAAGTAAGTCAAAATTAATATATTTTGGGTTCAATACTACTACTAATATTTAAATTTGAGAACGATTACTGAAATCATATTGAAATTCTTTTTATATTCCTTTACAATTTGAAAAAAAAATTTTTTG